TCATAAAACCTCTCACAAATGATTATAATTTTGTTATGATTTTGTTATGATGTTAATTGTTTTATTTTTATTTTCAGGCCGTTTATACACGGAAAAAAACGATTTCACGATTGCAGCTAATCGTGAATTAGCTGAAAATATATTACTATTGCAGCTAAACATTTGCTGCAGTTGCTAACGGTGTAGCTGCTATAGCTAATATACAGAATGTCTCAGAATATCCATATCTCACTACGCGATAGGGACGTAGAACATATCAAAGTGAATAAAAAAGACTGATACTGTTTCTCAATATCTGTTATAATTAATGAGTTATTCGATGGTAAAGATATCAGGTTTTAAGCATGTAAGCGACAATTGATGTGCGCCTCCGCATATGTCGCCTATATGCTTAATACCTGATATCTTTATCTTCGAATAACTCATTAATTATAACATATCGAGAAACAGTACAGGATTGTTTTATTCACCTCGATATGTTCTACACCTATCCCTATATTCTATCGTAGTGAGGTATGAATGTCCTAATATATGAATACTTAAACGTTTAACTACGATAAACATATATCCAGATAGCCAAACCTAAACAAGTAAATCTCATAAACAAACTTTATTGCTAGATTTTAATTCCAAATAAGTAACAAATTTATGCAAATTCAGTTAAGAATCTTGCTGCCAAATTGCCATCAGATATGCGACAAAGCCTGCTGTTAAACAAGTTGCTCCAGATTTGTAGTAAAAACCGCACAGAGCCTGCAGTCTTTTGACGACAAATTGGCGCCAGAGATCGAGTAAATCTTGATGTGTTGCAAGACTTACGCAGTTTTTGCTGCAAATTTGCTACAAGTTATTCAACAGCTTAAAAGTCGGAATACATTTTTCTTTCACACCGTTTTTTTTTCTACGATTTAGGAGCTCTCGAAATACGTACTCTAAGATTTTTGAGCTGTACCTTTTTAGCAGAAAATGCACATAATGTATTCAAAGCTCAGGACGGAAGTATGCTTAAAAGTCGGAATACATTTTCCTTTGCTACAGCATATTAATTACTGATATATAAGCTCGCAATATAGGTACCTTATAATTATTTATTTGTAGCTTCTTTGATGAAAATTCACATTATAAATTTACAATATGTGTATGTTTTTGCCAAGGATGTGCAGTTCAAAACTCGTATAATACGTATCTCGAGAGATATAGTTTAGTAGCAAGATTTGATAAAACAGATCCTGTGTCAATTCTGATGGCATTCTATCGATAAAAAGTACTGCAAGATATTTATACTGCACGTTTGTCAAGATATGCTTTGGGTATTCTTGGCTATTAGGGTAACTTATGGCAGCTAAACAATTAACAACACCAACAAAGTTTTAGTTGCTACAACAAAACATATTTTCAGCTAATCCCCGATTAACTGCAGTCTTGAAATAATTTTTTTCCGTGCAGGTAACATTCAAAATTTATTTTGTTTGATGTTTCATGTACGTTTTCGTACAATTTATTTTAGTTGTACATGAAACTTATAGTCTTGAACTTGTGCAATTGGGTTTTTAAATCGTATTTCAAAGATAAGCAGTTATTATCTTTAAAATACGATTTAAAAACCCAATCATACAAATTCAAAATCCGGATTTCAATTTAAACAAGAATTCAAATGTTTATTTTAATAAAAATATTTTGTTAATTACCAATGAACTAAAGTAACAGCACAGGTAATTATCAAGACTGCTATAAAAAATATCAAAATTGGGAAAAGATCTTTTATAGAAAATTTCCATTTATTTAAGAAATAATCGATTTAATCAAAGGTAATCTATTGTAATTTATTAATTTATTAATATATTTTCAATGTTTAGAATGTGATATTAAATTAAATTTTCTATTTCAAAATTTATATTTCAAAATTAAATATTTGTATACTATATCAATATCACCAAAATAAATAAAAATAAATAAAAATACTCATTAAAAAAAAAATTATTGCTCACCTCCGTGAGCGAACTTGGATCTTACGAATTATGAAGCAAGCACCTAACTCACGAAGCCAACTGCACTGGTTGGAAGTACAGTTACCGGGAAGGCTCATATGGCGCGCCGCGGTGCGCTTCGGATATGGCCAATTTTCACAAATTTATTACTCCGAAACTAAGGCCTATTCTATCAAATGCCGAGACACGTATCTTTTTTTCATCTTCAGAATAATTAAAAAAATTGGGGTTGAAATCCCAAAGTGAGTCACCTGGTCCTCCTCTTGTTAGTGATGCATTACAAGTACATGCATGTTTCAAATTTGCGTACTTTTTTCATAGTATATATTAATATGGTATTAATATAGTATTAATAGTATTAATATATAGTATTATATATGTATAGTACATATAAAGTATATATATAGTATATAGTATATATTAATAATATTAATATATATATGTAATAATTATATTATATCCTGTATTTGTATTTTTTATATCCTATATATTTATATATTATTTGAATAAGTAATATCCTACATAACAAAATATATCTGAGATATAATCAGATATCTTTATGATTATAATATTAAGTCATATCTGAGATATTTTTTTTTCAGATATTCGCTCATAATAAGGTATTAAGTCATATCTTCAGGACATCATTACTCGATATCAGAATCTAAGCAGAAATATGTCCTAGGAAAGACAAGAGATTATTTTGAATCACTCTGTAAGTATATCTTTCAATATCTAACGAATGATATACTATATTTTTTCATTTTTATAGAACGTAGATATTAAAATACTTATTATCATTTTCAATGCATAAGAATCATATAGCTTTATAAAAGTCTGAGGGCTATATTCATAGTCGGATCTTATATTTAAGATCGCTTTAAGTTCATTTTCAGATATTTCGTAGCCAGAAATATGTTGTACAACATTTAAAGATAAATTTAAGACGGTCTTATAAGAACCGATTATGAATACCGACTTAGAATATTTTTATATATTTAGAATATTTTATATTTAATATAGATTATCAGAATATTTATAATGTTATACTAATTTTATTATTATATAAGTAAAATCCAGATTTTCCAATCATTTCTCTACTAATCCCTTATAGAAATATCATACTAAGAATCATTGATAATTACTTATTTTTAGTATTAAAAATACTGGATAATAAGTAATTATCAATGATTCTTAGTATGATATTTCTATAAGGGATGTAAATATACATTTTCTCTTTACAGCGACTGTCAGTACAATAAAGAAACAGCCTGATTGCTACATTATATTAATCACAAAACATTAAAAACTGATTGCAACATGCAGGAGACAAAATGCGATGTCGTTTAAAAAAAAATGCAATAGAGATTTGATTAGAATAAAAAAATATGTTATGTGTCCTATATATTTTATTTATATAACTTTAAATATATTTCATGTTGTTATACTTAATATATCATAAAAATATTAATATATACTTATTCAAAATATATTTTTAATAAAAATAAGTTAAACAAGTTTTTCACTTTAAAAATTTTATACATGAGAACATAGTAAAAGCATTTTCTTATAGAGAAACAATACAAACAGTAATATCCCAGACGGCACAAATGTCCAAAATCGAGTCATAAGACGTCTTTAAGATATATTTAAGATAATAAAAGACAAGATTAAAGACAATACTTTATAAACTTGTCTTAAAGACAACTTAAAGACGTTTTAAAGACGTCTTATGTCCCACTCTTAGACTGTGCTGTCTGGGATAGTATGACAATGGTTTTAAAGTTAATGGTTTGAAATTAAAAGTTATTATTTGCAGAAATTTTTAATTCATAAACTTGACATTGTCATGCTTTGTTACTTATTATTGTTTTTCTGGTATAAGAGAACGCTTTTTAAGATATGAGGATATATTCAAGATATCTTTAAGGTTTCTTAAAAATATCTTTAAAATATTTTGAAGACATCTTTAAGATATTTAAAGAATGTCTTGAAGATTTTAAAAGATATCTTTTAGACATCTTCAGATATCTAAACGATGTTTCAAATTATTGCATAAGATATCTTTTAGATTTCTAAAAGTTATCTTTTCAAAATTACTGAAGACATTTTGAAGACATTGCAAGATATCATTTAGACATCTAAAAGATATCTTTTTGTCTATATGGGATGTATTAACATGTATGGACAAATTTCATACATAATTATATATAATAATGTAAAATTATATATAATGTTATATAATTATGTATAAAAAATTTTTTATTAGGTTACAAGTAACGCGATGCGTCAATAACTGAGCGAGATGTTTCTTTAACGATAAGGTCGCCGCTAACTCGCTTTTATGTCTACCGCTTGTTTTTCGCCTGTGGTGAGACAAGAACAGATAAATGTTGATTATTTGTCTTTGGCTGCGTTCGTTTTGGGCGCTTATGCGCTATAAGTGTCATTTTATGTTCTTCCCGCGTGTAATGCCCTTATAGAAATATCAGACTAAGAATCATTGATAATTACTTATTATCTAGTATTTTTAATACTGAAAATAAGTAATTATCAATGATTCTTAGTATAATATTTCTATAAGGGTGAGCGATAAAGATAGAATGACGTTTACAGCTCGTAAGCGCCCAAAGCGAACGCAGTTTTTGTATAACTAACGCATCCCATACAGCACAGATTATTGCAATTATATTGCAGCAACGTTGCAATGTTGCAAGTTGCAATGCAACATTATAAAGACATTGCAGAGATATAGATTCACAAAATTCCAGCACACTTGTAGCAACATGACATTAATGTTTCGGAAATATTGCATGCAATCCAAATTCCATAATTTATATATTGTAATATATATACATATATAATACTGTAATAAAATAATTTTTTTGCAATATTGTAAAAGATGTTAACGATAATCAATAATTTTATTAATCATTGGCTTAAATTTCTGCGCCGTACGCTCTGCGCAACACATGTATGCGTATATAGCAGGCGCCGGCTTCGCTGCGTAGACGTTGACCATTGCAACTCGTGGTTATCACGTGTACAATGACTCGCATCGATTTATGTTTTGCTGCGTAAAGGAAAAGATAAGTATTTTTTTGATAATACTGTAAGATATAGGTTACGGCATCTATGCTCAAATAGTTAAAGCATTAGTTAGGTAGCAGGCCAGGAGGCGCTACGGAAGGAAGAAAGAGAGAGTATATAGGTAGAGACAGAGAGAAGTCGAGGAAGCTGCTGCGGTAGAGTTCCAAGAGAGAAGTTAGCAAGATAGAAAGAGATAGAAGTAGCTGTAGGAAAGAGACAGAAGTAGCTGTAGGAAAGAGATAGAAACTAGAGGCAAGTAGGGAGGAAAAGTGAGAGGAAGAACCTCGGAAGCGAAGAACCTCGTGAGTTGCGTGCGGAAGTACGGAAGGGGAGAACGATATTCTCTCACGTATTAGCAGTGGCGATGTTGGAATAAAGCACGTGGCCTTCCAACGACAGTTGTCGTGCGTTGTAGCCGATGGACATTTGTGATTGTTGTAAAGTGATTAAATATACTGTTCGTTATTGTTCCTACAAACTGTGTATATTTCGTTTCATTTCCTACAATACTATGTTTAATTATAGCGATATACTATGAAGTTAAAAATCTATATTTCGTAATTATAAAAGAGAATCACTTGTCCCAGAGTTAATAAGAACCTATAACCTCTATAACCTCAAGGAGACTGAGACTGATTGGGAAAGTAAAAACTGTATAGTTATTTATGATATATCTTCGTATATTTTTTTATGTGAATATTTTTGCTTTATTTAATTTTCTATTTTGCTATGGGATATATGTGCATATCTCTATGATACAGTAATATGAAACTATAGATACTTTAGAGGTAAATATAGGCAGCAGTTAAAATAAATAATTATAATACATAAAAAGTAATATAATATATATAAGTCTGTAGCTAGTGCTTTATGTGTATATTTTATATTATCATTTCTTACTTGTAATGAGTGTTTCAACTATTTATACAGTTCACACTGTGCATATACATTTGTCGCATTGTAGATAATATGCATTTGTGTACTGTGAAATAGAAAACCAGAAAGAAAGCAAGAAATATTCAAATAAGAAAATATATAAAGGCATAATAGATAAATATAATTATTACTCTTCTAATCAAGTTCAAATTTTGAGAGGATATATGTGATTTTGTCTCTGGAATAAGCATATGTTTTTGTATCATGTGTAATAGTATAAACAACACATATGTACAAATGAATATAGGAAAATTAATCTGTTTTAAAATATTAAATATTAAATATTAAAATATTTTTACTATATTGTTTCAGAGAATATTACCAAACATTTTGACAAGGAGGATTCTACGTATAATATCTTGAGTAATATATACATACTTGGTATATTGGCATTTCATTAATAGGTAAGCATTCTTATGTATGTAGGGTTTATTTCCTCTCATCTTTAATTAATAATTATTGAATTATCTGAATTATATATTACATTTACAGATATAACTAAAAAATATGTAATTTATTTTAAAAAATTTGTGTTTATACTGACAAGCTTAAACTTAAATGTATAATATGTCTAATATATTAAAACGTAAAACATCTGTTTCAAAACGTCATATTAGGAGAATTATTGAAGATCAAACTAATATTGATGTAACAGGATTATCTACACAAATCATTAAACAATCATGCAGTACTAATAGATCTTTTAAAGGTAATTGTTTGACTAGATTAAATAAAAATATTCATGCGTTTAATAAAGACACTAATGAAACACTTAATTCTGAAATTGAAATCTGTGAAAATGAAAATTATTATCTACCATGTCAAAATATAAATGATAATCCTGGCATGGAAATAGATTGTAATCATGATAGTGATATTGAAAATGTCACCACAGAAAAGAAAAGCAGAGATTACAATGATGATGATAATGATGATAAATTTAAAAATGATTTAATTGGCTTTAACATGGGCTTTATCGTACAATAATAATCACAATGCATGTAATGCATTGATAAAAATTTTGCAGCAATATACATCATATAACTTTCCAAAAGATATACGGACGTTACTACAAACTCCACGACAAGTTGATATAATAAATGCATGTGGCAGACAATATTTTTATGCAGGTTTGAATAATGTAATTAAGAAAATATTTCTAAAATCGAACGAAAAATATATAAATTTACTTGTAAATATAGATGGTTTTCCTCTATCAAAGTCATCACAGGCTTTATTATGGCCTATTTTACTTTCGAATACAGTAAATGAAGAGGTGTATATCAGTTGGACACAGAGCAATTGGACACAGTCCAATCACAAGTCGCTGTTCCAAGGGACCCTACAAATGTCTCTAATCACATGGTGCTGTGATTGGCTGTGTCCAAATGCACCGTGTCCAAGTGCACCGTTCCCTGAATGAAGATGTATATTTTGTTGGTGCATATTTTGGAGGAAAAAAACCGTAAGATTGTAATACTTCAACCATTGGTTAATGATTTAATTTCCTTAAGCAATGGTTACATTTATGATAAACACGTGATCAAAATTAAATTATTTGGTTTGATATGCGATGCACCAGCAAAATCCTTCATTTTATGTACAAAGGGTCACACTGGATTCTACAGTTGTACAAAATGTACAATAAAAGGAAAATATTTGAATGGTCGAGTATGCTTTCCAAATGCATCATATTCTTTAAGAACTGATGATTTATTTGCCATTAATGGTTACAAGAATTTTCAGATAGATTACTTCATTGTAAATAATATTCCGGATTTTTTACCTATAACGAACACACCTTCAGACTATATGCATCTTGTATTATTGGGCGTTGTTAAAAAATTAATACTTTTATGGATAAAAGGACCGCTTTCTATACGGTTAAGACCAAGATCAATTAAAAGAATATCATATTTATTAATCCTACTTAGAAATAGTGATTTCTAACTTCACCCAATGATTTTGTTAGAAAGCCAAGATGTATACAAGATGTAAAACAATGGAAAGCTGTAGAATTCAGAAATTTTCTTTTATATACTGGACCTATTGTTTTAAGATATTCATTGACAGAAAACCTGTATAATCACTTTCTTATGCTTCACGTAGCAATTACAATTCTTGTTCGTCCGGATTTATGTAAAACAAAATTTATAGATTATGCAGAGGCTTTACTTAAAAATTTCGTCTTATCATTTAAAATATTGTATGGGAAAAAATTTGTGTCACATAATGTCCACAACTTATTACATTTACACTCGGATGTAAAAATATTTGGTCCGTTAGATAAGTTCAGTGCATTTCGCTTTGAAAACTATATGATGTCTATTAAAAGATTATTAAGAAAGAACGAAAAACCACTGCAACAATTGGTAAAAAGATATAAAGAAAAAGAAAATATTGATTTTCTGTTACAAAAAAAAGACCCTAAAGAAAACTTATGTTCACTAAAATATTCACATAATGATGGACCAATTCTTGATTATATTCAGTCTCAATCACAATATTTACAGTTATCCACTACAAAATTTCATATACATTGTAAAAGTAATAATAACGGTAATAATTGTTGTCTCTTAGTAAACGGGTGTTATATTATTATTTTAAATATAATGAAACGAAATAAAAGTATTTTTGTAATTGCTAAAAAACTCACATATGTAAACAATGTATATGAAATACCTTGTGAATCAAGTGAGCTTGGTATAAAAGTGATGATGCTCAATAGCGATGAAATATTCTCTTATCCAATTACAGATGTGCTCTGTAAAATATGGAAAATTCCTCTTGCAAATAAACCGAATACATTCGCAGTATTTCCCTTAAACCATACGATGTAAAACGATTTTAAACCACACATAATACCTATAATTATTTTTGTATCAATGTATATATATATATATATATATATATATATATATATATATATATATATATATATAACATATATTTTGTTGTGTACATATAAACATACATTTATGTTTTATATGCTTCAGTATAGACACATTTTGCATTGTAAAGAAAAATGAATACTAATTATGTCATTGCGGAATTTAACAATGGACTTCAGGTAATACCTGCATTGTGGTACAATGCAGATAAACGTTTAAGTATTTGGTCTGCTCATTTTAAAAGTAAATTTAGAATAAATAAAGCAATAATAACAAGAGAAATGCCACAAAATATTGAATGGGAGGTATTACCAGTGAAAAAGATTTTTGGCAGAGCAGGTAAAAGTTAATTGTTATATTTATAATTGTTATATTAAGAACTTATATAGTAAATAAAAAAAGTTTTGAACACTTTTTTCTATTTATAGTACATTTATTTATATTAAATAAAAAAAGTTTTGAACACTTTTTTTTATATTTATAGTACATTTTACAAGTTATTATTTGTAAATTAAAATGTATTATATAACATATTATTGTTTTAAATTTTACAGATAATTACGAAGAAGATATGGGAAAATTAGTCATAGCTGAAGACACATCTAATATAGAGGCATCATCTCATGAATTAAACATACAAAAGAAAAAAAGAAGATGTGAGAAAGCCAAGAAAATTATGTCATCTTCTTCAGACGAAGATGTATGTTTTAATGAAGACAATTTAAGTGAAAACAATAACGCAAGACAAAGTTGTAGTAACAACCAAAGTTGCAGGCCTCCTGCCTGCATGTCCAGAAATTCAAAATTTTGTATCTCAAAAAAAGCATATGCAGACATTCACAGAAAACAATTCTACTAATGTTTTATGTTAAAGTTCTTCTTACAGTAAGTGAAAGTGTTAAGTAGTAACTAATAATTTGTTATAAATATTATACTAAAAATAATTTTTTGTGTGTATAATGATATTTTTGCTTTTTAGATAAAACTGTTAACATTGAAAATATTTCAAAGAACACAAAAGATTTTACAGAAAAATCTATTGATAGCGATATAGAAAATAATTTTGGTGGTATGTTTCTATATATATATATATATATATTATATTTATATAAATGTAATATCTATAAGATTTAAATGTTTTATATATCAAAACAATATATATAAATACATGTACACATTGCTACATATATGTATGCATATAGGCAGATTTATTTTTTACACAATTATTAATAATAAATATCATTAACTGCAATACTTAATAATTCAATAAATATATTTTTTCAGAATGCAAGAAACTAGTTTTAGGAAAACTAAATAAAGTTTTATATAAACTTAATAGTATTGAAAATAAAATTGATGTGCTAGGTGAGAAAATGCAACGTTATAATTATTCCAGCCAAGAAGAGATTGTTATACAACTGCCTATAACAACATTTAAAGAATTAACAACTTTTGAAGAAAAATTAAAAGATGTTAATTTCAAAGATAAAGCGGTAAATATTAAAAAAAAATATTCTTTATTTTTATTGCATACTGCTAAAATTCCAAATTTAAATAATAATATAGTACATTTAATATTTAATATCTAATAATTAATGTAATAATTAATCTAATAATCTATACGCCTTTGTTTATATTTGAATTTGACATTTAGAAAGCCTATGCTTTACACATAGTTTAATTAATCTAATAATTTATTAATAATTTAAAGAGAAAGAAAAAGGGGAAGAAAGAGAGCGCATGAATCAATACGAGAGTATAAAACAATATTTTTTAATACTATTAATAATCATGTATATTTTTCAGATTAATACGTTTCAACTTGTGGGTGGAAGTACAGCACATATGATACGTAACATTTTAAAAAAAGCTGTGACAAATAATTTGGCACAGCTAAAAAAAGCTTTCAAGATTTAGGACTTTCAAGAATAATTATACGTAAGTTAAATTTTTTATATAATTTTACGTTCCACTAGTATCAAATTAAATACTTGTGAAAAGCACACACTTTATTGTAATGTTTATTATAACTTTTGTGTTATAGAAGCTATTCGTACAACACATAAACATATAAATGACACCGAAATTGGCGAAACTACTGCCAAGTGGCTAGCCCAAGCTCCTGTTCGAATTGAGAGAGCAAAGTATGTACTTAAGGCGTTTATATTTTATATAATTTTATAAATATTTGCATGCATATTTTTATGCATGCAAATATGTATATTTTTATGTAAGTATATGAATTTTATGTTATCTTATTTTTACAGATAACTTAACAAAGAAAAATCAATAAAATAAGCAAAATCACATAATATAGGAATGCCCTGCATATGATCTTTTTTTCTGAGTTTGATTTGTTTCGTTAATTTTATAGTATTCATAATGCTTTTTCTAAGTTTTTTTATGTTCAGTGATTTATTTTGTTTTATAACAAAATCACGTAATATGGGAATGCCTTACGTATGATTTTTTTCTAACTTTAATTTGCTTCGTTAAGTTTATAATATTTATAATGCTCTTCCTCAGTTTTTTTTATGTTCAGCGATTTACTTTATTTGTTTTAACATAATTCCTTATCTTTCTTTTTAAGTTCTCTTAATTGAAAACAAACTTTATTTTAAGGCTCAAATGTTTTGGAGTTAGTTTATGGTTCAAGCTCTACGTCGTTACTATTTTTAACTTTCTTTATAGCTAGTGGGCAATTAATGCTAGTCCATACGCTAAATTTAAAATTATCTTTAAGTTTTGATTAATCGACTGTGATTATATTTATTTGTGATTGTATAATCGACTGTGATTATATTTATTTGAGATTACATTGCAATAAACAAAAATATAGATAATATTTAACTACAACGTATTCTCATTAATGACCCAGTAAGCAATCTGCGCGCAGACTGACGTCAGACTGTCGACAGAATCTGTCGAATCCGAACAGGATCTGTCGACAGATCCATAGACATCTGCGTCCCCAATCTGCCGCCAGACTGTTGACAGGGTCTGCGAACAGACTCTGACGACAGACTGGCGGCAGATTGCGCGCAGAGCCTGTCGACAGACTATGACGGCAGATTGGCTGCAGATTGAGCGCAGATCCTGTCGTTTCGTAGGTTCTTCAATTAAATTTTCTCATAATTTTTCATAATTACTCATAGAATAAGCGCTTTCTCATAAATACTCATAAAATACTATGACAAAAAAAATTTTTCTACATTATTTTTTCATAATTTTTAATATTTTCTCTAGTGAGATTCGAACTTGAACTGAAGACATCTTTTGGATAATCGTCCGTCGCCTTAGACACTACGCCAATTCCTCACTTGATAAAAAGCGCTTTGTATTGTCCATCTAATGTTTAAGGAAGAAAAATATTATAGTTTGTTCGCCTTTTAAGCCGCAAAATATAGACGAAACCGTTTAGCGTATAAATAATGTAAGAGAGACTGGTACGATAATTCGAAATTAATTTTCTACCAAGGAATGTATAGAAAATTACTGCAATAAAACAGCAGATAATGACATTTTTCTATCATGTTAATAAAATACTGTACTTTTACATGTGCGAATTAATTTGGTCGATCGTCCCGTTCAGATTGTATTAAGATTGTATTAAGTTTTATCAAAATCGGAGTATGATATATTTTTAAATAAACCATCAAAAAAATTCTGTAAAAGTCATTTACATAGCGAGACTAATATTTTATTCGGTGCTGCTGCCTTCAATATTTATTGCATGACGGTTAAATTGGATTTAATGA